CTTTTTATATAAATATAGATATAGATAACAAAATTTGAGAAGGTAATTAATTTTAAATAAATGATAATAAATGACATAATCACTGTGACACTTTTGGGTGCCCAGCCGAAAACCCTGAAACAAAAAAAGTTAATGAATGACATTTATAAACTATGTTTTGGAAATTACACATTTGACTAAAGGACTCAATTGAAATATATTAAAACTTGTGAAATTGCAATCAAATCACTAATATTTATTAAATTTTCAAAGTGAAGTCCATACATTCTAATTTCTACACACACACGAGCTCGACTGTCCGCCGTTTCCCGCTGCACCTTCGCCACCTGCGCTCCGACAACATTCACCTTCCGCCTCCACAATGGAGATTAGAAATGGTGGCGGCATCTCGGGTGGAATTGTCTTGCTGCGAGGGATGGTGGTCGGCCGGAGGTGTAGTCGGGTTTACAGAGTGTAAGGATCGGCTCAGACGACGGGGTCGGCAGTGGAAGGCCTCGGAGAAGACGCGTAGAAGGTAAATCTGGCGGCGTCGGCGGTGGCGGGGCGCTTCGGTGTCAGCGGCGGAGCGGTGGTCGTTGTGGCGCTAGGTAGGCCGCCGACTGGAAGGGCTGCGGCTATAGCGAGTCATGTGTGTGTGTGTGTGTGTATGTATCAGCCGGCTAGATGTGTTGCCGACGGGAAGTTTGACAATAGATTTGGTCGTCGTGGGCGGCGCCGGAGGGGAGCTTGTCGCAGCGAGGAGCGCCGGCTTCTGTGGCGCCCGATGACTGGGGGGCGTTGGGCGCTGCGCCGGTGGGTGGTCGGAGGCAGTGGGCTGACAGACTAGGTGTAGATGTGTGTTTTGCTGCGTGCAGGTGTGTGTACTGTGTGTTTGAGTGTTGGAGAGGGAAAGAGTTGTTGGGATGGTGAGTTGTAATTGGCCACGTGGCATTAAATTAGTGGATTTGTGCATTAAGTGAGTGAATGTGTGTGAATGGGGCCGTAAATAAAATGTCTAATATACCTTTAATGACTAAATAAATACTGAATTTTTTATTACCATTAAATCGTTTGATCCAATGATCATGATGTATTCTTATTTCTTTCACTCGGGTATTACCCTGTTGGGGTCTTTTCATTTTTGTGTTTTTTTTTTTGTATTACCCTGTTGGGTTTTTTTATTTTTGAGTTGGTAGTGTTCTGGTATTCTAGCGTTGCTAGCTGATATTCGATATAGGTTGCATTGGTTGTGTGTGTAACATCTCATTTCCCCAGCTTCGGGGCTCGTTTGTGTTCTTTGCCTTTTTGGCTTTTTTTATGAATATATTTATGCCGCTGAAAAAAAAAAATTGTTTTGATTATCTAAGCTAATTCATTAACCAACCAAATAACCCAATTATTTTTTTTTAGTTTGGATATGCACAAAAAAAAAAAACCCCCGTGTTGCAAAAATGGACAATAGTATTAAACTATATGCACACTAATGATTATGTGACTGCACAATAGTGATAGACTAATGCACATTAATCCGTTCAAGAATGCACATAAGTGTAGAAATTTATTCCACACAATGATATTGCGTGACAAAAAAAAAAAAAAACATTGTTATGCTGGCGTGCATTTTCATATATTAAAATTTCAGTTTCAACTTTTTACAAAAATATAAAAACATAATAACAAAACCTACTGAACTATATAAAAAAATTAGTTTATATTTTATCTATATATTTATTTATTTTAAAAAATAATATAATAAAATATTACAAAATATATAAATACTAAATATATTTTTATAATAAAAATAACTTGATTTATTCTCATAGCTAGTATTTGATCCTGTGTACAAGCACATAAATTTAAATTATCGTAACTTATAAGTTACATGTATGTATATAATTGTAAAATTATAAGTTAAATAAAAGTATCACATTTTAAAAATTTTGTCGTTAGTAAAAATGAACATAAAAAAAATTATCCAAATTCATCACAATATTTATTATATAAAATAAAATGGATAATTATTTTCCATTAAATTAAACTAATATAGTGTGCAATCTTGGATGAAAATTTTGAATTTGATGAGTTGGTGTAAAGGTTTCTATTACACAAGATGACTTTTCTAATATGTATTTTGTGTTTTATCTCTAGCATATCAATATTTAATACTTATTTTGCATGTGAATAGTCAACATACAAATTTTAAAAAAAAAAATAACCATTAATTCAAATTTAAGGGTTTAAACATTATTTCGTAACCATATTCTCCAAATATAGATAAATAAAAAATGATAATCGCATGCAACTTTATAAATCCAAAATATAGTAAAAATAGTGGATGATTGTATGGAATAAATTAAAAGAAAAAAATTGTGTAACGGTTTTTGGATGGATGTCATAATTTTTTTCGTTAAAATGCAACATATTTTTATTAAATAAACTCATATTATTAGTAATTGAAGGCTCAATAAAATTAAATGAAGTTTGCCAAAAATTATATATATATATATATATATATATATATATATA